TGTATATATATAGTGTATATATATATAGTGTATATATGTGTATATATATATATGTGTATATATATAGTGTATATATCAGTATCGGCCACAACAAACAGATAATTATTGGTTATTGCTATTTGCCCTGAACTTCCATTTAGATCGTTTAATTTTCTCTTTGTACTATGGCAGGGATGAAGTCCATCCCAGAGGACGCGCCGGCCGGCAGGGTCCTGCTGAGGAAGGAGGTGCTTCGTCTGGTCATCAACCTCAGCTCCTCCGTGGGAACCAAAAACCATGAGACCAACCTGTTAACGTGAGGCTGAAGCTTTCTCTTGCCTTAACAAAACTGCGTTGTTACACGTACATTCTACATCTATCCAGCCTATTCTAATGTGTTGACTAAATGTGTTTTCTTGGTAGTATCAAGGAGAAGTTCCCCTATGCGTTTGATGACGTCTGTCTGTATTCAGAGGTGTCCTACCTGCTGGCTCACTGCATGTTCCGCCTGGCCTCACGCCGCTTCATCCAGGAGCTCTTCCAAGATGTGCCATTTGTACCAGTAAGGAGAAAAGTACTTTCGAATAGATTTCTTGAGCTAATCATAAAGCAAAGTACTGGAAATCTGAGCAGAGATTAGGACTGGTGAATGTGTTAAGAAAGAACTTCTGGAGGCCAACAAACATCAGTGGTGTCGTTTACATGATGCATTTATTGCTCATTCTTTTCTTTCAAAAGAAGAAGAATTTCAGAAAGTTTCCTTTGTTTTCCCCGCTGTAGTTGCTGTAGTTGCCATGATGATACAGCGAGCCACAGCGGCAAGTTGAACCATCATAAACTGTAAATGCAGCGGCATTTAGAGCTGTGCACGGTTACGCAGGCCGACAACCTTCCTCTCTAATCGGTTATTTCTGTTGGTGTCATTCCAAAACAAAAAAAGTTTAAAGCAGCAGCAAGAACTTCAATTTTGGGTTGATTCTGGCAGCCCCTGTGGACAAAAGCAGTATTGTTTTCACCTGCCTTGTTTCATTGATTTCAAGGGGTATTCAAACAAATCCAAAGGTGATGGTGTCCAGCTCCCTCTCCCTGTTTTTATCCTCAAGCATTGTTTACTTCGCTGGTCTGGCTGCACGTGCATGTTTGTACCGGTGGCGAGCAATAGTGGAGTACGGGCTGTTTCTGGTGAAATAAAAAAAATCTTACTCTTTAACAATAAGGTCTATCTCTGTAGGGATCCTTTCCACGAGCAGACACATAGAATAACAATATGAGCCTGTCAGTGGCAAACTACTTTTAATGTACCTTGACTAACATTACATGGCAGCCAAAGCAGGCTGCAGATAAATAACGCTGAAGTTTCTCAAATGCAGTTTATAGTACAAACTTAAAGACTCACATGCTGATTGGCTGCCTGTGTGTTTTTCAGATGTATGAAGAGGCGGAGAGCATCCTGTCCGTACTGCCACAGAAGTCCTCATCTCCACAGTCTGACACTTGATTAACCCTTTCACTTATCGTCTGCCGGCTGAAGCTCGACAGCCCCAGAGCCCAACTGCGTGTCCCAACCCACCCGTGAACAGTCACCGACCTCCTAACTCACACTCCCTCACTGAAACCCCACATCCTCTACAGCTCCTCTTTTCAGGGGAAGCAACAGCGTCCAGACAATGATCACATAACAACATCACGCTGAATGACCCAACGACGACCTGGTGATAGCCGCTAAAAGGTTGGTTTTCCTTATCCACACTTGTGCTGCTGCTACTGTTCAAAACAGAAAACGAAGCTCAGCTTTTCCCCAAAGTGGATCTCTGACATGATACTAAAGATGATGTGCCAACACAGTTCCTGTACTTTTGATAGAACACTAAACGCCTCCTCATTGTGAGAAAGGACTCGTTTGTTAAGGATGTTGATTGGTCTGTTTGCACATGATTAGAGAATATAAAGCAGATGGAGTGAAGTCAGACAATCATCAAATTTAACCTTCTGTCTTTATTATTCAAGTTACTTTAGCAATCTTTAGCACTCACAACCTCTGGTGATCTCATCAGTACAAACACTGATAGCAGAGCAATAAGGTAGCAGTTACTGTATTCACTCGAGTGTGCCTCATAAATAAAATTTGAATGCACTTTCAGAGGTTTATGAACATCACTGAATATGTAATGTTTTTGCATAACAACATTTATTTATCAGTATAACTGATCACTGCTAGAAACTGCATTTTCTGACCTTTTATTATTTTGTTGCAAGTGTTTTGTTAGATTTGCACAAAAAAATCATATCAAATTGCATTCCTAAAAGAATATAAAGAATTTGAACATATCAAAAAAAACATTTTGAAGACGTTTCCATACATGTTGTTTAATATCAGCAAGGTTGAGTCTCTTGTTTAACATTGTGTGCCATAGTAAGCTGAGCTTTGACAGTTTTTATCCAGAATTGTTGTAACTTTGACTAGAGCCTGACCGATATGGGATTTTTGAGACTGATACTGATTTTAATAAATAATAATAATAAAAAAAAAATAATAATAATACTATTATCATAAACCCTTTTGGGTTCCCATGCATCCTGGAAAACCAGTCAATTTAGAGACTACTTTTCAAGTCATGTATTTTAGCTCCTCACTTAGATTACCTACGTTGTTGTTGTTGGTTTAAGAACCTGCGTGGTAAGACACTTCAAAGCAAGTTTACCAGATGTGGAATGAATGAGTATTTTTTGCCGGTGCTACAAGCTCTGTACATGAACACTGTGTCATTAAAAATGAGGAATAAAACTAAATATGTCAATATTTGACCTACTGGTAAATTATATTACCATTAGTGAGCAAGTGCTGTTATGAATTGTCAAGAAAACTCCTGGAAAACGATTTCCTAAAAAGAGTAGTAAGAGGGAACCCTTAAAAAAGAATGGAACATACACTGTAGACCAATTCTAGTTACCATTGCTGAGAGCTGCTTCTTCTCTTACTCTGTGCTGCTTGCCACAGTATTGTAAATCACAGGAACTGTGCTGGATAAACTTTGCAGTGGTGCCAGTAAATTACCACAAGCATTTATTTTCTGCGTTATATACTGGGAAAAACATGTTGTCATGTACATACGTACATATCAATACGTTATTTCAGTTTGACTCTAATTTTGACCTTTTTTTTCACTGGATGCAATCTAATGAGACTGAACTGTTTGGAACAAACTGTTTGTTTGGAACAAAGAAAATGTGAGTATAGCATAAAAGAGGTAAAGACTGAGTGGCCCAGGTAATGGAATATCAAAAGTTTGAAGTCAAAGGCAATTGGTTTTGCTGTTTTGGATCAAGAGATTTTGCCCCTTAATCAAGAGGCTGTGTCAGTTCAACTGACTAATCACAAAGGTCACATGGTGCAACTGGATTCACCTGTGTCTCCAGCCCCAAGACCAGCCACTGACTCAGATATGTAGATGACAGCTGGGTTCAAATCTAAATCCAGGATATGTAAGCCTTCACAGATCAGTTCAGCTCACAAACATCAAGTTTACATGAAGTCCTTAGACTGGTTTTCTTGGATTATGCAGTACACATCAAAGCGTATTCACTGGAAACACACTGATCAGTCCTCAGTAGACGAGAACACAAACTGAGTGTCATTATAACTCTTCACCTTTGGGCTGTGGAATCTAATATCTGCTACCCAAACATCTAGACTTCAAGGCCAATACATCCAAGTCCAGTTGCCTTTAAGTCAATAATTCCAGATGAAGTGGGCGTGATCACATGTGTGGTTCACCCAAGTACTGCATTAACCCCAGCTCTCTATCAGTGGATTAATGCCAGTGCCCCTTTTGTTCCATGTTCAAACATGTAGTTTTCTCTGTAACTGACCTGCAACTACTGTTTTATGGAGACCCAAAGTGTTCAGTATGAAATAATTAAGTCATTATGAACATATTTATAAATAAAAAAATGACTATTTCATGTCAACATTTATTTTATGATCATGATTTTATGATTATGATATGCCCCCTCACTTTTAAGCTAGAAAGCTCAATAGCTGCTAAACAATTGAACCCGTTAGCATATTTTAGCTAGAGCAAGGACAATTTCAAAGTAATTTTAAATCAACCAACCAGAGGTTGTAAATAAACACAATCCACATACACAGAAACTAAACCTATTTAGTGTTTCGCCTTAGCATAAGGCTGCTCATACTACCTGCTTAACCGGCTAACTAGCTAGGCCAGCTTGTGTGCTTCAACTATTATTCAGCATCAAAGTGAAGAGCCAGCGTTAGCTAGCTATGTTGGCTAGAGCAACCACTGTGAAAGTATTTTTCTCTTCGTGTTTTTGCTCTTCTGTGTCTTTCTCTGAGGAACGTCAGAATATCCGAGGTAACTGAATTTACTCGCTAATGTTAGCTGTTGCTGTTAACATTGGCTCTTAACTTAACTTCAGCTCTATTAAACCATGCCTAGTTAGTTAGCCAGCAAGCTAGAAGTATGTGTAACCCTGTTCAGCTAAATACATAAAAGGAGATGGATGGAGAGTGTCTGTTTATTGACAGCGACAGCTAGATAGTTGATCCAGAATTACTTTGACGTTGGCATAGCTGAAAGGTGCTAACTTGCTAATTCTGCTAGCAGTTGTTGAGCTTGCATGCAAGGATGGTGACATGAAATAAGAATGTCAATATGAAACAGATTCATGAGATGTGCAAAAAAGCCATTTTGGAGTAAACATCATAATATGGAATGAACTCTATTTTTGAAATAAAGAATTGGATGAAATTATATTTCTCATTCTATTTCACTTATTTTTTTTTATTGAACATTTTGGGACTCCATACTGTGGACCATGATCTTGTTTAAAATATTAAATGAGATATGAGTGTTGTTATTACTATGCAATATGGCTGAACCTGTAAGTTATGCTATGGGCTAAGGAGTAGACTGAGCAGTGACAACGTTTGTAAGTCTGTTCAGTTTAGGCAGCTGGAACTACTTTTCCTTAATTTCTTGCATTATTTTAAGAAATGTGTTGAATTAAGTTTATTTGACTACTGTGCAAATACACAATAAAACCTGTGTACTGTATGTGAATGACATTTGGGAAAGTCTTCATGGGAGAGGAATTGCGAAGGTACATTTTATTATGTAATATTGCGCCACTATTAATTAAATCACAGTTTCCACCGATAACTTCTTCCTTTTGCACTTTTCAGATTCTTCTTCTATTTTCACTTCCCTCTGGTAAACTGATGTAACTATTTTAAGGAACATATTTAATTGAACAGGTGAAACTCTGAAAAGGTTTTGACATTGGTATTTAACTTTCAAAGACATCATGAGCATTTTATTCCTTGTGTTGTACATGTTGTAGCTTCTTTGAAGATCACTTGTCTGTATTATAAAAGATTGAAGGAAAGAACGATACGTGTTGCTTTTATTTTCCTTACGAGAAGTCTCCTCATTTCTCTCTATAGTACAGCTGGCACTATGGAACATAAGCAAAAATAAAGGGGCAGTGGATATGAAACCAAACTGTAAGACGCCTGCAGATGTGCTCCACAGGAATCTGTGTCAGTATTATTTTAAAATTCTTAAACATTTTTATTTATATATTATGTTATTTGGATTCTTTTGCAGGGATATAAAACACTTGTATCAGTGGCAAACGATAGCCTTTTATAATGTGCCATAAAGGAACAGGAACATATATTTTTTGACAAACACACACAGGCAAACTTGAAAAAACTACGGAAACACATACTGAGGATGTTCAACATTAATGTTGTATCTCTACTCAATAAACCAAACCAAAACAGATCAAATCAAACAAAAGTAAACCCCCTCCACAATTCATTTATTAATTATTCCTCCAAATAGCCCTATTTCATCTAACTAAAACACGTCCCTAATCCAGTGTGTATGTGACAGGAGGGCAGGAGGTTTCATCTTCTTTTTTCTTTTATCTTTTTTATGCTTCTTTCTTTCTTTCTTTCTTTCTTTCTCAATTAGCCACACAAGTAAACATTACATCACAATGTAAAGTAATTATGTAATTGAAAATCGAGCAAAGGAGACAAAAACACCCCTACCCCCCAAATACCAATGAAACAATAAAACCACTAATGACAACAATAACAAACAATATCTAGTCAGTAAAACATTTCATACATCAAAATAATAGTACCACTAAAAGTAGCATAAACAGTGACTGGGAAAGTAGAATGAAATAAAAATGAAGCAAAGTGAGAAAGGCCGAGCACACAGTAAGATATTATGTAGCAAAATCTTAGACATCATATTCTTTTAAAGGGTTAATATTTTCTACCAAAGGATTCTAGTAATATTAACCTACGGGAACGGAGACTGCAGCCTGATGATAGAGCACAACATTTGATATCAGCTCAGGAGGAGAAAATTAGGCATCTGGAAAATGTGTGTGGTAATGTTTCCTCATCTAGTCTGAATAACAAAATGATTTCCTAAAGGACTTGACTTTATTACGAACCACATGTTTGTTGTTTTGACCCAGTCACGTCTTCTCGCTTGAAGAGATTTTAGGAGCGTACCACAGACACTGTCTGAAGTACGAGCCTTCGGGCAGCCTGTGAAGGCATCACAGTGCACCTGCGTCTGAAGGACGCTGGTTTAGAGCCGCGCTCTGATTGGCCCGCTGTGATTAGAGGCGGGAACTCTCCGCTGAGCCGAGCGGATGATTAGGCAATACACCTGGCTGTCAAGATAAGTGCGCCTACCTGTCACTTCCTGCTGTCGGTATTTATTCATTTTCACTTCTTTTTTTCCGACTACGGCAGATTTGGCACGTCACTGCCATGTTTGTATGATTTCGTCTAATGTATCCCGCACGGTTTGTGGACCCTGCGGACCAAACGTTACGACCTTGGCTTCATGTAAGGCTCAAAGGAGGAACCCCCCCGGACGCTGCTGGGAAAACACCGCTCGGGTTTAATTAACCACCGCGGCTGATTTTAATGTGAACTCTTATTGTCGTCTTTATTAACACAGAAGCCGCGAACAGCAGCAGCGGCAGCAGCAGCAAGCAGCAGCCACGGCAGCCAGCACGCCGAGGGACTCTGCCCGGTGGAAAGGTAGGAGCCACAGAGGCGGTTAGCGGGAGATTGGGTTGTGCAGCACGGATACACACAGCGGCAGCGGCAGCAGGCCCCAGCTGGGGGATTCATATGGGCTGTAAACGCCGTGTCATACGTAGCTGCTGTCGTGACAGGACAGTGTGTGCGGACACTGTGGTTAATGGACGTTAATTAATGGCCGCTGTGTTTGTCATTCGGGCGCACAGATGTGTGTCCGTCTGCGACACTGGATGTGAATCTCAGATGTCAAAACATGTTTGTGTGTGGCGCAGGGCCGGCTCCAGCTTTTATTGGGCCTGAATGAGACCCTCCCACCCAGGCCCTCTCTAAACCCCCCTGCAGTGGCACAAATAGAGACATGTAAGAGGCCATGACAGTGTTATAGCTCATCCTGAAACGGCAAATTGAAGTGATATAAGCATCGCTCTGCAAAGGTGGTTGTGTGTGGTGTGTGTGTGTGGGGGGGGGAGACAATGAAGTCAACCAATTAGAAAAGCAAACAAGTAAACAAAAAAAATTCCTATAAGAATGTAAGTCTAAAGAAAAAAATTCCAAATGCATCGGGGTGTTGTCACAATTTAATTTGACCTCCGATCTTAAGGTCCCGATTAGGGATGTTAGGATACACACAATTTACGATTTGGTAAAATGTAAAAAATACTGGGTTGATGATGATGATGATGATGATAGGATTTTCCTACAATATTTTTAACCAAATGAGACTGAAGCCACATTCTGACTGTAAAAGATTCCTTTAATTCTCAGACAAAAATCTACAAAACTTATTTTCTCTGAAATCAATGAAATAATCCTTTTTTATTTCTTGGGTATAAACTGTGGAAAACAATACATATTTCCTTGTCTTTGTAAAAGTGAAACTGGTGTCTCTGCTCCTTGATACAGATACAGATACAGTGACGTGGGACACGGAAAGTCAAAAGTAGATAGCACCCTCTGCTGTTAAAAAATAGCATCATGATAAATTCTTCATCTCACCGATTTGAATCTTCACGTATTGTAATTTAGCTGTCTCACAATAGATCTTCACATTCCTAGTCATGATTTTATTCGATTCTATTTAAAGCTGCTGTAGGTATTTTTTATAAAAAATACTTTTTGTATATTATTATATACACTATATCCTTAATCTATACTATATCCTGACAGTAGTACATGAGACTTTGGGTTGGTGGCTTGAATGTCCAGGGTCCCAACAAGTCTGTATTTGACGACCTGAGAATGGGACTCAACAATTTCTTTGTCTTTCTCATCTCTGATTGGTTGATTCAAACCCGGTGGATTCTTGCTAATGTCANNCCAGAGGAACCTGATTGTTTCACATATTATCTCTCTCATGTACTACTGTCAGGATATAGGGTGAGGGCAGCTGTGGCTAATAATCCAATCATTTAGTCTATAAAATGTCCATCCAATATCCGAGAATGTCCAATACAATTTACCAGACTTCCAATGTTTTTAAATTGTTTTTAAACACAGCAGCGTTGGGGCGGTTGTGCATCACCGGTGGCTAATATTAATAATTACTGTATTTGTCCTCTTTATTAAACTTTCATAAATAGAAATGTTTACCCACACACAGAAACCTATACACATGCAGCTGATGTGACATAGCAGGACCCTGAATGTTTTGAGTGCCCCGGAGGTGAGCCGGCACTGTATTAAAAATGGAGGATATAAATAAACAGGCACAGTGCGGGACATACATTCTGTTTACCACCACAAGCAGGAAGCAGCCGTCACCATGGATACTGATGGGTGCATTACTGCCTGTGCTCTAAATGCACAACATCCCCCACCCAAAAAAAGTATTTCACAGCACAGAAAATGGCTGCATGTGTACAAAGGGTACAAAACACTATTTAGTAATGCTTTTGTTTTCAGTTTTAATAACATGTTGTTATCTAAAGTCACCATGACAAGTCATGGAATGTTTGTGTCCAAAATGATGATGATGATGATTGTAGCCAGATGGAAGTGGCTACAATGGAGTAAGTTGGTGCACACCTGTGATATGCGGGTGTATTTACCTATTTAGCTGAATTCAATAGAAACTGTATGACATCTAATTCTTTTTTTTTTTTTTTTGCGGGATGTGTTTTGGTGGTACCAATACACCAATCCTAAGAGTCCTTCTGTCCTTGCGTGTGTTCCTTGCGCGTGTTCCTTGCGCTTTCCAACTCTGTAGTTGCTGTTGTGGACAAGTCTCCAGCAGCACAGGAAGGCTACACTACGTGCTTTGTTCGTACCTGCCACACATATAGCGAGAAAACAACAATGGTGGATGGGGGGGAGGGGGTATGCTCACTAGGTTTCAGTGGGTGGGACTGGACTATGATTTAGCCTATAGGTGGTGCCATATTTTCCTAGAAGAAAGGGCTGAATACAAACGAGGCGTGTCAGGCAGTGCATGAGCAGTGTTTGCTGTGGGAGACATTAACTCCCTTTGGCGTGGACTTCAGGTTTTGTCACTTTTCAGACCTTTTACCTGCCCCTGATTCCTCTTGGCTCTGTTTTCTGTCATAAATATTGGTTGACTTTGAGGGCCCCTGACTCCTAAACTGTCAGTCATTCTATGATACCAGTGAAATTCCATGATATATCATAATACCCTG